GTTTTGTCATCATCAAAAAGGAGAAGATTGTTGGAACAAGATTTGGTTCTACATGTTATCTCTGAGTTTTGATGATAACAATACATATATTTTATATGTAACAATTTTTGTATCTAATAGTTCTTTTAGTGTGCAGATAAAACATTCAAATTGATTCAGGATTATTGTCTGATGAATCATTAGAAATATGTTTAGCTCGTATCAAAAAGACTATCGTATTCAGTTATAAAGAAACATCAGTAGTTATGAAGAATGTTGAATGTTCGCCAGAAACGGAACCACGCGTACTTCTCCAAATAAGCAGTTGCTTCAGAAGTCTAGTGTATCCAGAAAAGAATCAATAGTGAAGATCAGATATCAAGCTTTTGCTTCAACGATCAGATATCAAGCTTTTGCTTCAACGATCAAATATCAAGCTTTTGCTACAACGATCAGATATCAATCTTTTGCTTCAATGAACAGATATCAAGCTTTTGCTTCAATGATCAAATATCAAGATTTTGCTTCAAATAAGATAAAAGGCTTCTCAGATAAAGCTTTTGCTTCAACGCTCAGATATCAAGAAATTGTTTGTCAGATAATCTACTGCTACATATCTGAAGACTAGGTTCTGGTTCTGAAGACTGTGATACCTTTGAGAACACAACAAAGAAATATCTTCTGAAATATCAGAAAATATACAAGAAGTAAACAAGTACAACAATACAACACATTTTTTGTCATTTATGGAGAACACAATATACGGAAGAAGTTTGTGTGTGCTTACTATTTCCCACGTTCTTATGCTACCGTTGTAGTAGGAGGCTTGATGAAAGTGACATTTTCCAACGATATTCTTTTCTCAGCCTATAAAAAGGGGATAACAACTTCATTATAGAGTAACGACGAAGAAAATAAAAATGCAAATACTCAAACGATTGAGGAATCAAAGTTACAGTAAAAAGAGAGAAAACTAAGAGAGAAAACTAAGAGAGAAAATATTCAAATAAAGAAAAACACAAAGATTTGTTGCTCAGATTTGTGTTAACTTGTATTCTCTAAAACACAAAGAGTTGTTGCTCAAATTTGTGTTAACTTACATTCTCTAGAACACAAGAGCTCTTGCTCATTATTGTGTTAGTTCTATCATTGTTGTATGCAAAAGAGTTATTGCTCATATTTGTGTGTAACCATTTGTTTTTCATTGTAAGTGTTAAATCTACTTTTTAGAAGCACTATTGTAAACATTGTTGATTATAAATCTTTTTAGATTTATTTCCTCAAGTGATAAAGTTGTAGTCAGAATTACTTGAGAGGGATAAGGTGTTTTTCTGAACTCTTAGAGGTTGTTGTAATTTTTCTAGATTATTGGATTAAGTCATTTTCTAAGGCAAAATCACCTTGACGGATGGACAAGAGTAGCCTTTTCTATAGTGAACTTGTATAAACCAAACGTGTCACTTTTCTTTTTTGCTTAGTTATCATTGTTTGTTTGTGAGAAGCATTTTCTAAAATAAATAGTTTTTGAAAACCCCAATTCAAACCCCTATTTTTTGTGTTTTTCTCAACCTTCACCAATAAGGTCTCTAAGTCTCACCGCCTTTGCAAGGGGAACACACACTTGTACTTTTTGACAAGTAAAAATCCTTTTATTATCTTTAAGATATTCAATATGATCATTCATAAGTGAGTTGTTTTTTTCTTCTAAATTTTTCTTTCCTTTACCGAGTTTAACGCTTAAGGAAAACATTTATTTACATGTTCCTCTTCATATGACTCTTTGGTTGGTATTCTAGACGATAATTCTTGTGAATCTTCAAATGAATTTTTTGAGGAAGTTTTGGATGAATCCTTGCACAAATATTTATAGCTTTCTCCAATTGATTCTTCATATGTTGTCTCAACTTCTTCACATGCATCAAAATTCTAGCATGTTGGATTGAACTTTTGATAGTGTTTCGTCATGTAAATTTTCAAAGAAGACTCTGAAGAAAATCATTCATATATAATGACTATTCTTTCATATGATACTTCTGGTGATGATATTTAAAAAGCTTCTTCTTTGCATGACGAGGATTCTTCGCATGTATCTAAGTTCATTTCCTCATCCTTAAGCAATTAAATTAGTTCTATAAGCTTTATGATGATTTCCTTTTTATTTGATATTTTCTAAAATTCATCAAAAAAATTTATATCCTTGAAGTCAGGTACTTAATCAGGTTTCTGATACCAGTTCTTGAATCATAAATATTTGTTAAAGTAAAACTTTCTGAGATAAATCCAATAGTTGAGAAGCATATTTTACTAGTACTCGGTGTCTCAATTTCTTGGATACACATGTTTACCTTTTCTATCTAAGTTGAAATTTTATAGATTTCTTTAAGAGTGTCACACAGTTCTTTAGCCGGGCTATAATTAAAAATATGAAAAAATTTCCATATATAAGTTGCATTTTTCCCTTTTCTTCCCAGGTCCATAAATAATTAAGTTTGTCGACTTATTCATTTTTTATAAAATGAATAGGGTAAAAAGGAACATCAAAAACAAATTTTCATAAATCACGGTCAACTAAATTAAAAAATATACTTTTATTCACTTTTTCCATATATAAAACATTTCACTATTAAACGATGGAAGTGTATTATGAAAATCCATTGTTAAAAGAAGAAGAATTGTTTGAAGTCATCATAGAGTTCAGAATTTAATGCCACTTGTTAGCCAAGAGACTTTAAATACAAGAGAGGGAAAGAAGATGAAGATGAAGAGAGATGAACAAAAGAAATAACATAAAGGGAAATAAAAGAGAGAAGAGATAGTGAGAGTGCACCATATATTTATACATGTTCGACTTAACCATTTGACATACTTTTGTTCTTAAGAGTTTCCTTTTGAGAGTTCTGCTAAACATACTTGATATTTTTAAAGATTTTCTCACAAATCTTCAACAACAACAAATGGAGATTTTACATTGGCTAAACCCAAGAACAAACATACTGAAATCTTACACAGGTTTTACTCAAGAACTTTCAAACATAACTTTTACACAGGATACACTAAAGAACCTACAACCAGAGCTTTTATACATGTGAAGCTCAAGAACCTACAACCGAGCTTTTATACAAAATTAGCTTGCAAAATTTATAAAATAATTCCCATAAAATCACACTCTTGGATACAACAAATCAAAGCACAACATCGATTACAACAAATCTCTCACAGTGCCAATATTTCAACACTAAAACAATCTTCGTGAAAAGAAAAAAAATAAAAACAATGATTTTGGATTAAAAAAGGTATAAGAGAAATATAAGGTTTTCTAATCAGAAGTCTCCTTTATAAAAGAAAAGATTTGGCTCAAAAAGAAAAATATCCATAGGTTAAACTTAAATGATTTAATTGATCAACCCTAATTATTAATCCATTAATAACTTTCAAAATACGAAAAATCCTAATCCAAAAAATCAAACCATAAAATAGCTATATACATTGATTAATTGATTTTTTTTAAATCTATTAGGAGGTCATTTACTTTGCTCTAATTGATTGGATCAAGTTCTTAATCAATCAGGCAGTGTAAAAACTTCCCTAATTGATTAAAATTACTCCTTAATCAATTATATATAAGTCTATATAGGTTTTCAAGGGATTTTATAAAATACAGCGTTTCAAAAACTTTTATGTGTGTGTATGTGTGTGATAGCTATAGTATGCTAAGACTTACTCTTGACCTTTTATATTTTAACTAATCACTCTAAGACGTGAAGTGGAGGATCAAACGAGCTTTCACAACTCCATATCTTAAAGTTTCTTTACTCAATACAACCATGGCTTATCACTTCATCTATTACTTGAATTTTTTGATTGACCAGACTTGATATATCATCTTGATCAAGTGTCATAATCACATCCTTTACTGCGATAGTTGAAATTAACTCCTTCTGTCACAAGAAACTCTCAACATCCACAAGTTGTTGCTTAATTAGTTGTTGTCATCAAAATTTAACTAATGATATACCTGCACACACATAGATACACAAATCTCAATCCATAATATTACAAATCTACCATATACGTAATTTCCACGAATTTCAAGTCTTAATATTCAAAATTTCTTCCATATTAATTTTAGGCCATTTAGGATAGCCATATCCACTAGTTGTCTTTATCAAAGCCTCATTTCTTCAAACACATTACAATTTAGAGCGTCTTACAACTCGACTCAATTCTAATGACCCAACCCAAAAGAGACCAGGTATATAGAATATCAAACAAAATTTATATATAATTAAGCTAAAAAAATATTTTACTCCATAATATATTACATACTCCCTCCGTTTTTTATTATAAATTGCTTTGGAAAAATATTTTTTACCACAATGTAAATTATTTTACAATTTCAATAAATAATTAATAATAATTTTTTATTATATTTTTAAATAATTATTTTCTCTCCTTTCAATTATGTAAAATTATTTTTTAAATATAAAGATAATTTTATAAAAACCTTTATAATTTTTTATTTTTATACAATAATAATTATTTTTGTTCAAAATAACTTATAATAAAAACGGAGATATCTAAGCTTCTTTCCTATTAAAAACACTTTATTTTTAATCAAGACACCGTCAAATTTGTGTATTAAGAAAAGAGTACACATAACAAAATACTAGTACATATTTTATTTTTGTTGTTTTGTTTTGTTTTGTTTTGTTTTGTTTTTTACTAGTATTTTGAAAAAAACTATTCTTGTACGCCACCCACCTGATTGGGTTGGCGAGAAGACGCTTTTTTCCCCAAACCCCAGATACTCACGCTATTCTCCAAACCAAACTAACCCAAATCCATATCCTAAATTTCACTTCTCAATATTCATCTTCTTCGTTGCTGCACCTATCACTGTTTCATCGTTAATATCAAGGTTTTTCTTCTTCTCTCTTTGCATCTTGTCTTTTTCAATTTCAATTTATTTATTACTCTTTTGATATTTCATCAGCATTGCGATCTTTGTAACCTAATCGATAATGGAAGAAAACAATTCCCAATCAAAACCAGATCTAACCGATGTTGACTCAGTAATTCCCAATTCCAACACCAACAACAACGATACCTCGTTGGAAACAATCGTTCGGAGTTTCCAAGATTCAATGTCTGTAACCAAACAGCACAAATTCTGGGAAACTCAACCGGTTGGTCAATACAAAGATGTTGGAGACTCAACCTTACCTGAAGGACCGATTGAACCACCAACCCCTTTATCAGAAGTCAAACAAGAGCCTTATAATCTTCCAGCTGCTTATGAATGGACAACCTGCGACATGGATTCTGAGGAAACATGTGACGAGGTTTATCTTCTTTTGAAGAATAACTATGTTGAGGATGATGAGAACATGTTTAGGTTTAACTATTCTAAGGAGTTTCTTACTTGGGCTTTGTGTGTTCCTGGTTATTACAAGAGTTGGCATATCGGGGTTCGCGCGAAAGGCTCGAAGAAATTGGTTGCTTTTATAACTGGGATTCCTGCTAGGATTAGGGTTAATGATAATGTTGTGAAAATGGCTGAGATTAACTTTTTGTGTGTTCATAAGAAACTTAGGTCGAAAAGGCTTGCGCCGGTTATGATTAAGGAAGTTACTAGGAGGGTTCATTTGGAGAATATTTGGCAAGCGGCTTATACGGCTGGGGTTGTTCTTCCGACCCCGGTTGCTACTTGTCAGTATTGGCATAGGTCGTTGAACCCTAAGAAGCTTATTGATGTTGGGTTTTCGAGACTTGGTGCTAGGATGACGATGAGTCGGACTATTAAGCTTTATAAGTTGCCTGAGTCGACGGTTACCAGTGGGTTTAGGAGAATGGAGCTGAGAGATGTACCTGAGGTTACGCGGCTGCTTAGGAATTACTTGGGGCAGTTTGTTGTTGCGCCTGATTTCGATGAAAATGATGTTGAGCATTGGCTTCTTCCGCATGAAGACGTTGTTGATAGTTACTTGGTTGAGAGTCCTGAAAACCATGAGATCACTGATTTTTGTAGCTTTTACACATTGCCTTCTTCTATCCTTGGGAATCAGAGTTACTCGACTTTGAAAGCTGCTTATTCTTACTATAATGTGGCTACTAAAACTCCACTGACCCAGTTGATGAATGATGCGCTGATTGTGGCAAAGCAGAAGGATTTCGATGTTTTCAATGCCTTGGATGTAATGCATAATGAAGGTTTCCTTAAAGATCTCAAGTTTGGACCTGGAGATGGACAGCTTCACTACTACTTGTACAATTATAGGATTCGTAATGCCATGAAACCGTCCGAACTCGGGCTTGTGCTCTTGTAGACAGATATGTTTTCTTTTTCAGTTTTGTTATGCAATTTGGATAAACCATTCACTGGTTTTGTTTTATTAGCTCGTTGTTTCAACTAAACGCCATTTATTGTACCATTGAAATATTGGCAATTTCAACATATTCTTGCAGGGCATGTGAAAACTTATCTTTTGGTTACTTTCTTCTGCTACTATGCTTCTATTACAAAAATTATGAAGTTGTTATAATTTACTGCCTCAGTTTCCTTTTTGCTCGATTTTGATCTCGTATTTCTGTATGCATTATTGCTTTTATATTTAGAAAGAACTTTGCTACAATTCTTACAAAATTGTTTCTGTTTAGCTGGATATGTTTTGTTGCTCATGAATGTTGGTGGCTGTCAGTTTGCTTATTTAATCACATTTGAATTGATCCAGTTCGAAGTTTATTAGGGGATGGTGTCTTGGGAGTAGGGATCCGCTCCGTTTCTTAAAAAGAAATGGAGGGTCCATTACTATAATTTCGTGTGTATAAAGTTAAATAAATATTAAATCTGTGTCACGCATCTTATAAATATGTGCAATTTACACACAAAACTATAGTAATGGACCCTACGTTTCTTTTTAGGAAATAGAGTGGATCCCTACTCGTGTCTTGGTGTCTATCTAAATATAATTTTATTGGTTAATTTACTGTTTTTGCTTTGGATTTATCAGTATCTACTTTTCATTGTTAGTAGACTTCATCGTTAGGAAAGGGATAAGTTAGTGCATTATGCAAGAAAGGGATAAGTTAGCACATTATGCAAGGGATAGCCTTTTATGAAGGTTAGAAACAAAGTCTCCTTTAAAACCTTCCTTCTCACTGTTTGGTTAAAAGAAACTGCATAGAGTTTGTTCCTTGTGAGGTTCTCCTTCTAAATTTTGATGTGAAACTGTTGAGTTTCTAGTAGTTATATGATAGAGACTTGGGTAACTATGGGGTGTCGATTCCGACATCAGGTAGTATGAGATGCCCGGTGGAGTATTTAAGTGATTGGTTCTTCTCTGTTGATAGCTGCTTTGAGAAGAATGTTCTTCAAGTGCTTAGATACTTATCATTATACATCATTGGTCTACACTAGGTCTTGTGATGCCTGGTTAACTTTAGCATTGTAATATATTTTATGTTCTGTGATGAGTTCCAAGTATTTGCATTGGTATTCATCAGATTCCTAACTTGCCAAACATTTATAAAATTTGGAGGTGTAAATTTGTTATTTTAAAGTTTCAAGACTTTTTGTCTCTGAATTGTAGAAAATATGGAGGTGTAACATTTTTACTTCAAAAAATTTAAAACTTTTTATAAAAATAAATGACCAAGTCCCAATATGAGCCATGGCCATTGAGAAGCCAAGGGAATGAAGGATTAATTCAGAAATTTGAAACGCTCACTTTAAATTATTTTTCTTAAAGATTTTAACATCTTCAAAACCACAGCCCAATGTTTATTACTTTCATAGTGAGTATTTTGATGGGAAAAATCATTTATGTAAGGATATATTCCAACATCTAAGCCCTATGATAGTTCTAGTGTGTCATTATGCATTTTGTATTCCTTCGCAATCAACTCATGCTTTAATAGTATTGTAATGAGTCTTGCATCTTTTATGATTCTCTAATTGTTCAAAATTTGATATGTATGTTTAACAACTCATCATTTCTGACATGTAGAGTATGATAAGTATTTCTATAATATGAGTGTTTTCTATAATTTGTGGTTCTGCTAATACTTGGATTTTTTCAACATGTCATTCTACAACATTTTCTTTAACTCTGTCTATAAACATCAACATATAAATAAACGTAAACATTTCATTACATTGCATAAACAGAAACATTCTATGCTTTTGGAATTTTCATTGACATGTTTTTTTCGACATGTTCTTTTACAAACATTACATAAACAAAAAAAAAATATAAATTATGCAAAATTAGTTGTCAGTCACATGATTATATATGCAATGTTGTCTATTTCTATTTTTCCAAGTCTTTTCTCTTCAAGTATATATATGGTTGAGTGTTATAAGCTTCACTTCACTGCTTTTTTAAAACATAAATCATTTTGTTACTGAGGTTGGATTGAACTGTTTCGTGAGTTTTAGTGATTTTTGAACTGGCTGGGACAACATGATTTTGCAAACTGACTTAATAGTCTTAGAACATATTCCTTCCGTTGCAAAACGACTGTAGTTTATGGATTTTACACACAAATTAAAGAATGTAATGATGTTGTCATAAGACATTATTTTTTTATAAAATTAACCATGAGTAAAAAGTAAATGACACAATTGGAAAAATAGTAATCGTTACTACATTGAAAAGTGAAAATGACAATCGTTTTGAAACAAAATTTATTTGTTAAAACGATTGTCATTTTGAAACGGAAGGAATATTCTTCTTACATTTTACTGAATTACTAGAGGCCTTTTCACATGAAAACTAGCTTCTTAAGACCAATAAACATTGAGTAATATTATGGTATACATAGGAAGTAGCAAAATAGCAGTGTTGTTTTCATCAAATTTTTAGTGTTTTATACTTACATTTTTTAAAATGAAAGGGAACTATGTAAACTAAGAAACTGAGTTTTGATTAACCAACCTAATGACAATGTTAGAGAGAGAAAGTTCAGCCTCTCTCTAACTTTTTAGGGTTCTTGCTTGATCGGGATGAAGTATATGAACGGGAAGGGTAAAACAAATGGGAAGCAACTTTCTCATAAGGAGGCAAAAGTGGAGCCAACACCACAACCAATTTTATCATTTTATTAATTAATTTTTTATATTTTATTAATTAATTTTATTTTAATAATCAAAGATAAATATTTGGTGTCATGTCAAAGTAACATTATTCTTTATAAAATATGGAGGTGTAAAATATTTACTTCAATTTTTTAAAAACTTTCTATAAATAGATGACAAATCAACGGTTTGGCCAACCACACAGGGCATTTCTTGTATCTATAGATTTGATTTTAAACTTACCCACTTTACCTTAGCCATGGTATATTGATATTATTTCTCGTGATAAACAAGATTTTTCTTTAACTAGACAATCAACAAAAAATAATTCTGAACATAATAACAATCACTTAAAAATTAAATATCAATTTTTAACGGGAAAAAGAACAAGAGAATAAAAAATCTTTCACCACACAAAAGTCATTCTCCATTAAAAGACAACAACCTTCACCAATGGTAAAAACTAACCAACAAAATAACACTTTTACGAAAATTGATATACTTAAACAATCTTAAGAGAAGTTAAGATTATTTAACAACTAGCACCACAAATGCTAGAATTAACAGAATACAAAGATAGGGACTAATTTTAACACTGCCACTCTACCTCCGATCGAAAGATATTTATGTTTCCAATTAGACAATCTCGATTTCACTACTTCCAGCACCGACTGCCAAATCTTCAATCTTCTATGATCGACTCCTATAGAAATCCCCAAGTATTCAACCTTACATTTCATAATTTTTGCCGCTTCTTTGAGCCAGCAGTGACAAACATTGATGCCTATAATGCTGTTTTTCTGAAAATTGACTTTCAACCATGACAATATTTCAAATATCATCAGGTTTGCCTTTATGCTTTTAAAATTCCTCCACTTTTTTTCTCCTATGATTAGAGTATCATGGGCGTATTGAAGGTGCGATATGCTCTCCACGTCATTCTCAAAAAGTTTCTCGAGTCAATTGTTTTTCTCATGATGAGGTTGAAACCTTCGGCTACTAATAAGAATAAAAATGACGATAAATAGTCACCTTGTCTCAGAACTCTACCCGCATTGAACTCTTTTGTAGTTATTGTATGTTTCATTTTAGAGATTTTAAATCCTTTTTTTGAGACACCAAGCACATGGACATGTCTCACTTATTAACACAATAAAAATCTTATTTTTTCTTTTATTTTTCTTATTTTCGCTAACAATTGTAGGTCACTTGGGGAGTGAAATTCACTTAACAAATCTCTCCCCTATGATTTAAGAGGGGAAGGAGATGTTCTATCTCTACTAGAAAATTCGTTTTTAGTGATCGAATTAAAGATTGAAAAAATTTAAAAATCGGTTACTAAATCGTTTAGTGACCATCAATTTTTGATTGAAAAAGTGTTAGTCGCTAAGCTTTTGCGACGAATTTAGTGATAGAAATTTAACGATCGATTTTGTAATTGATTTTTGTAAAATTGAAATTGTCAATCTTAGAAATCAAACCCATGACCTACACGAATTTTAACAAAGTCTTACCACTAAACCAATTAATTTATTTTGTTATATTCTATATTTAAACATATATACATACAACAAAGAAATAAAAAATCTAAATAAAATTTAGAAAATCACTATATAAATTTGATTTTATTATGCAATTTTATTATGCACACATAAAAATTGTATAATAAAAATAAAATTCACTTTGATGCAAATATAAATATAAAATCACATTATTTTTATATAAATATATGTTTTATTGTTAAAATGGTAAAAAGATGAAACTTTTACTAAACATGGTAACGTAATAAAGAGGGTCAAAAAATAGGAAAAAAAATACCAGTGATTGATTTAGTGACAGAATTAGCCACTAAAATTTGATATTCATGAGTCAACTTTAAATCGATCACTAAAAACGAATTTTCTAGTAGTGCATGTTAGTTTTTTTTTTTATTTTTACAATTGATTATCTTTGTCACATGCAAGATCATTGTTAACATATTTAAATCATTCACATCGGTGTGAGTCTTTTTAATTGAAAATTATTTTATCTCCAACGTCCCTTGTATCATACAACATCTTGATATGCTTTGAATTGAAATAAAATGTTGGTTTCTTACTAAGATGAAATTCACTCCAAGTATCATTGAATAACATAAACTTATCTTTGTTGGACAAATGACTCGAAACACAAGAATAGGGGAGATGAATTGTGGTATTTAATTTTTTTTTTACTTAAGAAGCGAATTGTGTTAGTATTTTTTAAGATCTG